AATGCTCTCAAATTGACAACAGATTATATAACTACCACAATGATGGAATACTCCAAGTACCAGCAATTGATTTTGTGAAGTAACTTACTCCATAACTCATACCCATTCGTGTATGAAACATAGATTTCCTTTTTTGCTCCCTGTTCTCTTTGTGTTTTGATTCCCAACCCCAGGTACTCCTTTGAGCCAGGTACAGTATTTACACATTCCTCTAGAAGAAATCTGTATGCATATGTGCCTCTCATAAGAACAGGAATATTTATGGAAAACAAATTTCTGCTCAGGAAGTTGGGTTCTATCAATCATTGTTATTTCTAATGTGAAACCTTAGTAAACCTTCTATATAAAAAGAATCATGAAGTAATAGGTGTCTTGAAGGCATTTTTCACACCACATTGCTAATCAGTTAATCATCATGAACACAATTAACCATTATGGAGTATCCCATTACTGTATTTGTTGGATTTTCCCTGCATTTTCTATTCACTCATTCACTTAAAAATACCAGCCACTCAATTACAGAGCCAACTAGCCAAAAGAAAGCCACTTCAAAATCAATGTCTTCTTTTTCTTGGTCATATCCATCTGTATGCATTAGGGTCATATGCAAATCCTCATGTCTGGTTCCAAAATATATTTGCAAAACAGGAAAATGTACCCTTCAGTTAGCAAAAAGCTTACTTGGAAAAAACCCCAAAATTTCTGTCTGCATATTTTTAATTTGTTACACTGTGTAAGGCATTGTGTTGTAGCTTTTAATTCTGTAAGTGATAGGAAATAATCTAGAAATGCATGAACCATAGTTTCTCTACAGTTATTTATATCTTTCATTAATTTTGTATTCTCCATTTATATATTTACATGTCAGAATTTTATCAGTTGGAGGGGTTATTTATAATGGATAATTATTTTGGAATGTATCTAGATTTCATTATAAGGAAAAAAATAATAAAATATCCAGATTTACTCATTTGATGATTAAATAAGAAAATGTGGCTAAAAATTGGATCCACAAAGAATATATTGATATACTACTACTGCTTCTTCAAAATAAACATTGCAAAACATAAGAGCAGTACTTCCTTCTTCTTCCTTATTCTTGCCACTGCCATGACCACAGTTGGGCCTCTTGTTAAGTTTGATTTGTTTCCCTCTAGTTTCTTCCATCTAACATTGACTACCTGGCGATTCATGTTCAAAAAGCACAGCTCTGATTATCCACATTTCATGGTCAATAACTCTCATTTTATCATTACCAATGAGGCTTATCACAGATACAATTGTTGCTAAATAAAACTGCTTAACTTGCCACCCAGTGTCTGACAAGCTTCTACTTGTCCTTTCCAGTACAGTGTTCCCTCTCCGGATGGCTCTTGGCCAACTAGGCTGCTCTTTCCTGAACTGAGTGCAGAACTTATTTTTGCTCTCTGTCTTTGCTCAAGCCATTCCCCCTTCTCCAAGTTCTCTCCAACACCACTCTCCCTTCACAATTCATACTTGAAGCCTGGCTCAATATTTTTTCCTTTTAAGATATCTTTTCATAGCCCCTGGTGGTGTCCCTCCCACCCGTGCCCCCAGACGTCTATAGCAGTGGTTTTCAATCTTCCTAATGCCACACCATTTAATACAGTTGCTCATGTTGTGGTGACCCCAAACCACAAAATGATTTTTGTTGCTACTTCATAACTGTAATTCTGCTACTGTTATGAAACATCATGGAAATATCTGATATGCACGATGTATTTTCATTGTTAAAAATTGAACATAATTAAAGTATAGTGATTAATCACAAAATCAATATGTAATTGTATGTTGTGAAATATTTATTTCTAATCACAAATTAATCAAATTTTGTCTTGAAGCATGGTGTAGCAGGGGTAAAAGTCTTCACACCAGGTACTCGTATGTGGGCGTATCTGCATGTGGGTGGACTTGCCTGGAGACAGATAGAGGAGCGGTATCTCGGTTCCTAAGACTATTGGAAATATGTGCTTTCTGATGGTCTTAGGTGACCCCTGTGAAAGGGTCATTCGATGCCCAAAGGGGTTGTGACCCACAGGTTGAGAACCACTGGTCTACAGGCAGCTCTTCCCATTTCTGATGTAAGATACTATAATATTTGCATTATATAAGATTTATTTATGTATATATTTATTTCATGATTGAGGAGACGAGTTGCATAGTGGTTACACATTGGGCCAATAGCCTCAGGTGCAGCTGTTTGAAACCACCAGTCACTTGCCGGAGACATATGAAGCTTTCTACTCCCACAGAGTTGCAATCTTGGAAAACCTTAGGGACAGTTCTACCTCGCCCCATTGGGTCCCCACGATTCAGAATGAACTCGACGGCAGTGAGTTTGGTTTTTTGGTATCTAATTTTATGACAGGTTGTCTTAAGGATACTCACATGAGTTGCCATTGAGTTGATTTTCAGTAATAGAAACCATGAGTGTCAGTAGAAGTATGCACTATAGGGTTTTAAATGCCTGATTTGGGGGATGTAGGTATCCACGTCTTTCTTCTGAGCCACGTTTAGGAGGATGCCACCCACTACTGTGTTGTGAGCAGCGGGGCCCTTTCCCCATTTCTACCACTCAGGGGGTGTTTTTCTATGCTGGCTAATCTTAGTTAAACCCAAACCATGGAGTAGCACTTGGTTTTATTCTATATTTTGCCTCACATATACATACAAGGACCACCTGCATACAAGCTGCATGTCCCTGAACAAGGCTTGTCTCCTCAGGCCTGATCGATGCTTCTTTGACTGTAATATCCTTTTATTCTGATTGTCTTTGTGATGCTTCTTCCCCACCCCACCCCCCAGGCCCCCTCAACACCTGTTTCCTAGGTTTTTCTTCAGTCATGAATTCCATTTCAAGTTTCAGTTTGAACCTACTGTCTTGGCCATCTTTATTGGCATTAGCAATATATACAAGGAGAAAAGGATACCTTGTCATGTGGAAATTAGATTCTGGGTTGCTATTACCCAAACCCCCAAAACCTAAATTTAAGGAGTTTTTCTTTTTTTAAAAGCACTTCTGACCATCCTATCTAACTCCAGGGTTTTGAAGTCAATGGTCATTTTGAGATAAAAGACTTAGGTTTCTAAAAAGGTTTCAATTTAAAAAAAAGGTTTTAATTTTGGTCTTATAACAGAAAATCTGATGCTACTTAGATATGAATGGTGTTAATAGGCAATATAAAATGTATACATTGGCACTTAACATCTGTCTTGATTCACTGAAGATGTTCCTTCTAGAGAGTTTGGTTTCAATTTTAATATTCTTCTAATGAACCCAATAAAGAGAAAAAATTGTGAGAAAGGAAAAGCTTCTATGGATGACACAAAAACCCAGTCTATTGGCAGCATCTTCATGGATTAAGCCTCCCAAGAATTCCCTCAATCCCAGACCTGGGATACAAATAACCTTGCCATCAGACAGAGTGCACTGGAAAATGGATTAAGGCTGATGTCGTTAGGTTAAAATTTAACACTTTATCTTAATCTCTCACTTTTGACTCATATGAAACATATTCTAGTTTGTATTATTGTCTCATTTCTTCTGGATTGAGGTCTTGCTGCATTTCATTTCTTTTTTTTTTTTAGTCATTTTACTAGGGGCTTATACAACTCATCACAATCCATACAAACATCAATTGTGTAAAGCACATTTGTACATTCACTGCCCTCATCATTCCCAAAACATCTGCTCTCCACTTAAGCCCCCGGCATCAGGTCCTCATTTTTTCACCTCCCTCCCCGCTCCCACCTCCCTCATGAGTCCTCGATAATTTACAAATTATTATTTTGTCATATCTTGCTCCGTGAAACGTCTCCCTACACCCACTTTTCTGTTGTCCGTCCCCCAGGGAGGAGGTCACATATAGCTCCTTGTAATCGGTTCCCTCTTTCCAACCCACTCTCCCTCTACCCTTCCAGTATCTCCACTCACACCGCTGGCCCTGAAGGGATCATCCGCCCTGGATTCCCTGTGTTTCCAGATACAATCTGTACCAGTGTACATCCTCTGGTCTAGCCAGACTTGAAATATAGAATTCAGATAATGATAGTGTGCATGTGTGTGTGTGTGTGGGGGGGGCATTTAAGAACTAGAGGAAAGTTGTATTTTTCATCGTTGTTACATCGCACCCTGACTGGCTCATCTCCTCCCCGAGACCCCTCTCTGTGTTTCATTTCATACTTGTTGCTTGGAAGGGGAGAGGGTTTTTTTATATGAAACCCAGATCAGTAAATCTATAGAGATTTATTAATCCCTATAAGCCTACAGAGATTCATAGTTTCTTAGGGCTATGGCAGAGAAGGTTGGAGTAAATGAGGAGATAGGAGTACAAGAATGAAGAAAACATTCTAAAATTGATTATGTGAAGACTACACAACCCTTTTAAATATGTCTAAACCATTGAAATGTATAGCATGAGAATTCTATATCAATAAAACTGTAATAAAAAAAGAAAGAAAAGAAAAGCTTCCCACACTTACTCCATATTTTTAAGTATACATTATTTTGAATCTAAATGTTTTTTGTTGCTAATTGTTCACTGACAAATGGATGTATAACCTTTAATACATATATTTGAAAAACAATGGTCCATCTTTGTCCTATTATAATACAATAATCAGGTTCATCATATCCACGACAGACTAGTAGTTGCTTGCGCAAGTGCTCCCCAGCCTGATAATCAAGCTGCTACCATAAAAGGATTAGAAAAGATCTCTGTAGCATTTTAGTCACACAATAATACACGATAACAGAATTTCAATATCTAAAACAATGAATGATGATTATTTTTCTCATGGGACCACTATTCAATTTCTGAAAGAAATTAACTTTTTCCCCCTCTGAATAAGCTTCAAGTTCAAGGAAAAGGGCCAAACATCAGTTAATAGAGTACTTTGGGGGAAAGCATTCCAATGGGGAGAATAACAACCATTATCCTCTGAATTATTAACTGATACTGAAAATATAAGGAGCTTACCGAATTGGCTTGTTTCCTGGCTTGGTTTATGAGTTCTTTGATCTCAGAAATGTTTTTCTTCAGGTGATCCTCAAGTTCCTTGATGGGTTTGAGTTTATCGATGAGTCGATCAGCTTCTCGTTCGAGAGTTTTCACAGTGGCATCTGCATCTGCAACTGCATGGGAAAAAAGGAACACACACACCAGAGACATGCGCACATGAGGAACTTGCATAGCAATATGCTGAGAGTCAGGTCCTCGAGTCCAGAGAACCAAGCAAAGCCAGGATTGCTGAAGCCAAGCTTGTGAAGGCAAATGGGGTTCTTGTCATTGGGATTCAAGCAGACTGGAGGAAATGTTAGCGAACAGGACCACACTTCCGCACTGTGATTAAGGTAGACATTAGCTCTGAAACTCGAGACTATGATGAATCTCATTCAGTCTTTAATTTCTAGCTTCAACAAAAGAGTTACACTTTATAGAACTCCAGTCTGAGCGTTAAAAAAATAATAAATGAAAGGGTCTTTTAAAATACCAACTAGTCTGTCCAGGCCAGAGAACTACTTAAATCCAGAGGATGACACACAATTGATTTGCTTCTTTTTGTTTTTTGCTGTCCTTCTCTGCATGTGATGAGAAGGACTGTCAAAACATCTTTCATAAAGCATTTCAATGTGAAACAACCCTTAGACTGTGGGCATATCATATCTTAATGAACCTTCCATATTGCATTCTTATTTTACTTTAATAGTTGATTATTTTTCTCTATGGATTACATTGAGTCATATTAAACTGCTCTATTTGTAGATCAAGAAAAGGTCAACTATGGTTAATTTCTAAAGTTCCAACCCTCAAATACTTGAAGGTTTTAACTGATTCATAGATTTTCAGCATGTAGTGTTTATAGAAGGGCATATGACATATGGAAAACCCATTGTTCTATCTCTGGAATGCTGGCAGTATTATCCAAACTATGTAATTTGTGATTTGATCAAGCATTCTGCCTTCTGTCATGCTGACCCTGGTGAAAAAGTGAAACTGTGTATCGCCCAAGGCTACATGCGCTGCTAGCCCATGAATGATCTGTTTTTGGGCTGACATGAACCATGGAGAACTCTTCTCAAGAATGAATCAAATACACTGGAAGGAAATACATTATTATTTTAAAACTAGGTTTTGGGTACATTTTTGAAGTCATTTTGATAAAAAATATGCTCTAAAGGGACATAGGTCTGCAATTAGCCTTACTTAATTAACAGAGTGGATTGACCAAGAACTGAGTATTTTCCTGAAATATAAGTCACCTTCATAAAAGGCCTTCTTAATAGTTGTATTATTGTTTGAATATTCAAATTAAATATAGTTTGCCCATTTTTTATACTTCTAGTAAACAATTGGTCTATTTTCTTCCACCTTTGAATTCTCCAGTATTACCATAATTTTCTACAAGCCATTCTAGAATTGGGGGAAAGTGGTTTTAATTTACATTCATGATAAAGACAAAAAAGATTAACCAAAGTCCATTTAGGATTAGACAAGACCAAAATATTTTTTTCTAAAGCTCCCAGAAGTGTTTTCAAAGGCTACAGAATGGAATTTGGCTACTGCTCATTTTGGGTTTTTTTTTGATGGTCTCTATCTTCTGGAAAGGAATGCTGGTGGAGCTGTGGGCAATGCTAACCATATTGTTGGTGGCAGTTCAAACCCACCAGCCACTTCTTGAGAGAAAAGGTGGCTGTCTGTTCACTTAAGATTTTCAGTCTCAGCCATCGACTCAATAGCAGTGTTTTTAAAATATATCTTCTGAAGCAGCTTAAGTCATATAGAAATTATTTTCCTGAAGGTTTGATTAATATATAATCTGCGATTTTGAGTCTTATGCTTTCCAATTGGGTAGTTTGCTTTTTTTAACCTGCTCAATTCGTGCCCCCCTCCCCCCCAATTACTTGGCATTATAGACCTTTTAATTGCTTCTGTAGATCAATTTAGATAAAAATACTTTTCAAGAAAATTGCCTATATGGATTTTAAAATCAAGTTTATTGTTTTTTGTCTTTTAATTCTGTAATGTTTTCTTTGACTTAGGCTTTCGTAAAATAACTATATCTATTTCTAACTTAAGGAATTGATTGCCCAAAGTGTTCCTTTGGATACTTGTCAAGTAATACAATTTCTCTTGTTTTCCTCTGGAAACAGGTTTGGCCGTATATAGTTCTAAAGTTTTGATATGCTTTATTTTATTATTAATTTCTAGTATTTTGGATATTTAGTTTCCATTGAAAATATGTAATGTTTAATCTTTTTATATTCTAGTAGTTGCAAATGTGTTAAGACCTAATTTTACTCTCCAATAAAACCTCCAGGAGGGAGAATAACCACTAATGTTGCCAGGTGCTGCTGGGTCAGTTCCCACTTCCTGCAGCCCTTTGAGCAACAGGGCGGAACCCTGGCTGGGCTGCCCCAGTCTCCCAATTGCTATGTTCACCCACATTGTTGCAGCCAGTGGGTTAATCTGTCCCTGGCTCAGGGCCTAACTCTCTTTGCTGTCCCTCTACTTTATTAAACATGAAGTCCTTTTCTAGGGACTGGTCTCTCTTGATAGCATGCCCCAAGGACTAGTAAGAAAGAGAAATCCCATTCATATTTATGGCAACCACATTAACCTTATCCATTGTAGTCTGACAGCAAAGTACCAAAATGAACTTCAGTGGCCACATTTACCTTCACAAATACATTGATTTAGTTCAACCTGTGGAAGAATTTAGTTACCAACTTTTATATGGAGATCATATAGACACCTCACTAATTTTCATAATGCAATTGAAAACATTTTATATCAAATTTATTAAAAACTACCTACTCTATAGAGGAAAATCCATTTTATATATTTTCACATTAATCGTGTGACACTGGGAAGAATAGCTATTTAATGTTTAAAGCAACAGCAAAGCATCGGAACATGCACAGCTAAAGGTTTTTTGCATAGACCATCAAGAATAAAAGTTAATTAAAAATATGCAAATAAACATATACATACTGATTTCTGCAGGTAATTTCATATGGGAAGTAAAACAAAAAGAAATTAGAATATCAATGAGGAAATACTTTTTTCATAGATACTATAAACTAGCGATGACCCAAAATGGTACTCATTTTAAGACAGACAAACGCTATCAGATAAAATCTACAAATGATATCACCTAGCAATGCAGTGTTCAAATTAAAAGACCCTTTAATATGATAAACAACAGACCCAGTTTAATTGATAGTTACACATAATGATGCCTCTTGATTTGAAGTGGGATCAAACAAATTGGAGGTGAGTGCTATGAAAGGTTACTATCTCTTAATAGTCAATCTGTAGTTGATTGAAGTGATATATTAAACTATGTAAAAGAGGGATATTTACATTAAAAACTTATTTTCATTAATTTTTGAAGAAAATATGGTGATTTGGTATGTATCAGAGCCAGTTAATCTAATGGAATTTTTGACTGATGGGGGAAACTCAGAGATTACATACAGAAAAACCAACCTTAAGCATTTCTCTCTTGCCTTCTTCCTTAAAGATATGTTACAGAAATGAAATCTTCCTATCCACAGCTCTGAAGTACATATTGTCTTGAAGGAGTCATGTATTTATTATGGCACAGCATTCTGAGCATTTGATCTGAATCTAGGGTGCTGAAACCAGTCTGTGCTTCCCCGACAGCATCTCAACTCACAACTTGTAATGTCAATAGTAATGACATCTTTTTGTTATTGCACTCTGCAATACTGATAATTAAATATACTCTTGAAAATGACAAAGTACAAACTACCCAAGTGCTTCCTTTGGTGAAGCAATATATAAGGATAATGATTTCTCATTTGTTAGGATAGAAAACATACATTTATGACTTCTGCATGTTTTTATCCTATAGTTCATGAATAGTTGGGATTATCATTATATTAAGTTTATCCATATTTTCTGAGAATTTATTTTCAACAATCCCCATTAAGTCACAAGAATTTATGCAATAGGATAAAAGTTGTATTCATAAACTAGATTAATGCCTCATTTTTAATTTCCTGGAAATATTAAATAATAGAAACCTATATAATGGCATATGATGATTTAAGGTAATTGAATGCATTTAATTTTGAAAGAGGAGCCCTAGAGATACACGGTTAAGGTATAGGCTGCTAATCAAAAGGTCAGAAGCTTGGACCTACCAGCCCCTCTATAGTGGACAAGGTGTAATGGGTGTCCCTGTCAACATAACAGGCTGGAAAACATGAAGGGAAATTCTACACAGTTTTACAGGGTCAGTCCCAGTCAGAAAGAACTCAACAACACACAACAAACACCCTTTCCTGGCTTGTTCCAATAGCGCGGCTAATGAGTATTCCCCTGGATCGCTTGTTAGCATGAAACCTCACAAACTCTGAGGACACAGTTTCTCAAAGTCTACCTATCTGAGTATATTCAATAATTTTAAAACATTTGGCAGCATCACTGCACCAATATAATGCAGACTTTCTGGATTCCTAATTTTCCTTAGATGAAACAATATTTATGTGCAAGATGCCCTGATGTGAGCTTGGTGACCTGGGCCTTGGTGTCAACTCTGCAGGACACTTAGTTCCTGAGTTGAGTCCATAAAATGAGGAAGGCAGATGGCCCTGGCACTGGGGCAAGCTCTGGTGCTACCACTTATGGCTGTGAGAGTACTTTTTGTAATGTGAAGAAATAAATGAAAAAGGAGGTCTTACTGTTCTTGGAAGGATCTTGTACCACAGCATTTGTTTGGGCTACACTGTCTGCCAGTTTATTGTAATTTTTCTTCAGGCCATCAAGGTTCTGGTGGAGGTCTTTAATCTCAGCCAGCACATCCTTTGCTATGTCGTTGGCTTCTCTTGCTTTGTCCTTAACAGCTTGCAGTTTTGTGGCTGTATCTGTCAGTAACACCACAGTGGAGAAACAAAACAAAGGTTCTTGGTTAGTAGCATAATCCTTGCTTGTCAAAGGAAGGCTGGGGCTGGCAGACCTCAGGGACACATGGACCAAGGTAAAAGGCTTAGCCCCACCCCATTGGCTTGTAGCAAATGAAGTGATTTTTAGCTGAGTTTGATTTTTCTCAAGGATCTCTGCTATGAATACCTGGCTAGCTCTTAAAACAGCACAGTTCATTGAATAAGGATAGATTGTGATTTGCAGCGGATTGTATTAAAGAGACACACTTTCCACATGGGCCATACAAGTGTAAAAACCAAATCCATTGCCACTGAGTTGATTCTGATGCATACCATCCCTATAGGGTAAAGCTGAACTGCCTAAGAGACTGTTCAAGGTTGTCATCTCCTTGGAAGCAGCCTTCCACATCTTTCTCCCAAGGTGTGGCTAGTGGGCTCAAACCACTGACCTGGTTAACAGCCAAGTGTTTCACCACTGTGTCTGCAGGGCTCATTATAAGCTACAAAATCACATCAGCACTTGAACGTGGTTAAAGAATTAACTTGCATGCCCAGAAAGAGGGACATAAAGGTCTTCCATTAGAAAAAGACTGCAGTGGGTTTGTTATAGAGAGCATGTGCTTGTGCTTCATGTTTGCTCTCAGCATTGGTGATTTTCTATGTAGTTCAGGAAATAGTACTGAACAAGTGGCCTGGAAACAAAGATTGTTACTCATTGCTTAAAAAATATTTAAAAATGTAAAACTGATTTAGATTTTACATTCTTCTGAGTTGTGCCTGTACCAAACTGAAAGCCATCGAGTCAAAGTGACCCTTTAGGACAGGGTAGAACTGCCCCTGTGAGTTTCCAAGACTGTAACTCTTTATGGGACTAGAAAGCCCCATCTTTCTCTCATGAAGCGGCTGGTGATTTCAAATGGCTGATCTTGCTGTTAGCAATCCATACCATTGTGCCACGAGCACTCCTCACTGGGTTGCATACAAATATGGATGTGTCTCTTTGATCAGTTTTGAGTGTGGGGAAGATTATGCTATCTCTGAAGATTGTAGGGGAAGATTCCTTCTTGTCTCAGCTTTTGGTGGCCTTAGGTTCTTGGCTTGCAGCTGCCGCAGCACCTAACTCGGTTTCACTACTTACTTGACCATCTTTCTCTGTGCTACTGTTTGTTGCTCTTATTTCCTTTGATAGCCATGCAACTCGTACTGGCTTTGGACCCATCCTACTCCCGCATGACTTCATGTTAACTGACCACTGTTTCAAAGAACCCAAACCTAAACCAGGGCATGTTAACAGATACTGAGGGGTTAGGATTTCAATTTGGGGGGGTGGGGGTGAGGGGCTACATGTATAGTATTATACATAGGCAAGTAAAGCATGGCAGGTAAGGAAGAAACCCAATATCTACTTCTCTGGCATCGCTACACATATAATGTCAAACAAAACAGTAAAAGTCACAGCATAATTCAGAAGTTCAAGTCAACCAACCAAGTTTTCTAAGTTCTTACTACTTACCACTTGGAATGGCTGACAACTTTCCTAAAGTGTCGTTCAAAGCTTTCAGTAGATCCCCATTTCTCCCATCAGCACTTTCTATCCTGTTTGTTAGGTCATTCAGTTCATCAGCATTGTCTGCAAACAGAAAAACAAAGATAAAACAGGATAAACAATATATCAAATTTCAATGATCTGTGAGCTTGTATCTGAATATTTGATCTTAGTTTGGCGTCATACGAGGTCTGTAAAAAGCAAGAACATTAACTTACTTCCTTTAACTCACTGACACTTATCCACAAGTGTACTTCAAGTCATAACAGAAAATATGCTTTCACATGATCATTTGAACGTCAGTGTGTTCAAAAGTTAGGTTTCCTTTTTGATATCTGATCTTGAACTGGCTTAAATTGCTGGTGGGCAGTAGAGAAAAACAGTTCCCAAGAAGCAATCCTTCTGTGCATTTGGAATGGTGCCCCCAGACAACATTTCCACGATGCTTGACTTAACAAAATACAGTGCCAAAGTGGATGATCAGATGAGTTTTTGAAATTTTCAGTTAGATTTGATTGTTCAACAGAATCTCCAAATTTTCGTGAAATCTAGGGCTTCAAAATGAATTGAAATGGTTCAATCATGGCCGACATGAATGCAGAAATGAGGGCTTCAGTATACATGTTGCACAGTAAACACATGTCTAGTAAGCTGCTTTAACCCAAGGAGAAAACGGGCAAGGGTGTCTAACACTGACATGGCAGCTGCTACACAGATACAGGCAAAGTGGCGCGGCCAGCTGCCCTCTCCGAGTGGGCCAGGTATCAAATCTGGTTGCTAAGAGATTTTTGGTTGCTATGCAATGAGTAATCCACTTATTTCCATTGGCCATTCCTGAACTTCTTCAAACTGGTTTGAAGACCCATTGGAAACAAATAAAAGTGAAATAAATGGGAAAGAAGTTTTCAGCACATTTCTGAAAAAAAGAGATCATTTCATATTTTAAAAAATAAATTGCCTTTCAATGGACCTTATCTTGCCTTATTTTCCTTTTATAAGACAAATTTAGTGTACTTCCATCAACAATCAAGGATTATCATTTGCTAGAGCTAATTGAAGTGGGAAGCTTCCAGCCACTTCTTCCAAGTTTTTAGTATCCCTCCAACTTTAGGTGGGTTTATATTGTAAGATTAGCTACAACGTTCTGACTATAACAATATAAAGAGTAGGAGTTATGAGAACATTTAGGAAAAGGAAACTAAATATCCAATCTGCTGATACAAGAACGTGTATTTAGCAATCCTACTTAAATGTGCGTCAGAACCGCACCTGCACCTTCAGGTTGAAATGGAAGTCATCTGTCCTCTTTATGTTTACATCATTTATTGGTAAATAATCGGAGGGAACAACAGATGGACAATTCGATTCTTCGCACACTGAAAATTGAACTCTCCCAACTGGATAAAAGCAGGCCATTCTTTGGGTTCAAACAGTTATTGTGGCATGATTTTTGGTCCCTGGAGATACACATGCTGATTTTCTCATTGTTGTTGCTGCTGTGGTCACGGGTGTCTTTGGGTCAGTGCTGACTCACAGTGACCCGAAGTACAACAGAGCAACACACCTCCTGGTTCTTCGTATGTTTGAGTCCCTTGTTGCAGCCGCTGTGTTGATTTACTGTGCTCATGAGCAACACAGAAAAGTAAAGTATCAACAAAAGGCAGTGTCGCCGAGTACCAAGCAGAACCGAGTAAGGGCAGTGCAGGCAGAGCCCAGACAGTGGACGGGCTGGGTCAACATAACCATGGCCAGTCGGTGTTTACCGTGTGTGTGTGCTCTGCACCAAGCTTAGGGGCTGTCAGTTTAGGTGGATTCTTTTTCTCGCGCCTCACAACAAGATGTGTGATGACCTATGCCCATTCAGAGTCGTGGGGCAACACTGAAGCCCAGGCTGATCATTGAAATGTTGGCAATTCCAACCCCCAACCCTGCCAGGTGAGAAAAGTGACCTGTAAAGATGATGTGCGGAATATACGGGGGCAATTGGCCTCTGTCCTGTAGGATCCCTATGAATTGGCAGCCATTTGACAGTATACAGCAACGACAATCTTATAGAGGTAGACAGGTAGGCGGCCACTGGTGAATTCAAACTGTCAACATTTAGTTATTTCCCAAACCCAAATTTGTTGTCATCAAGGGGTTTGACTTTGACTTCCCAAAGCCCTACAGGACAGAGGTGAATGCCCCCTGGGGCTGCTGAGGTGGTAAATCTGCACAGGAGCGAGCGTCTCTCTTTCTCCTACAGGGTGACTGGTGGGTGGTGCTGCCAACCTTCGGTAAGCAGACCAATGCATAAACCACCATGCCACCCTCACAGCCACTGAATAGAGCTTGTACCATTGCCACTGCCATTTTAAACTGGACTTAATTTAGGGTTAGAGAATTTAAGTAATTTTCCAAAGATTACATGGTTAGCAAATGTCAGAGCGAGGGTTTAAGTCCAGGAAGTTTTTATTTTAGAGATTATGCTTGATAATATCTCCTAGTGCTGGTTAAAATGTTTGCTCTGTGCATATATTCCTGTTCTCTTATTTAAAACCCTTGAAAACGGATGCTCCCCATGGAAAGAGTGCTCTTGCTCTCCCTCCCTGGTGCTTAGAGCAAACAGAAGGAGCATGGAGATGCAGTGATTCCATGTTCACCTGCTATCCAAAAGGTCAGGGGTTTGAACCACAGAGAGAAACGTGGTCATCTGTTTCTGTAAAGATGTGCAGCCTTGGACACCCCCGGGGAAGTTCTGTTTTGTCATACAGAATCACCAGGAGTTAGAATTGACTCAATGGAAACTTTTTTTGGCTTTGTTTGTGGTTTTGAAGCATGAGCGGAACAGGAGAGAATATTGCTCACATAATGAAGTCAGCCTCGTCTGGATGTGGTTGCCAGCCGACCCTTTCGCAGGACTGCAGCTCCTTGTGGAGTCGCTGTGCAGCCACGGGCAGCTGGAGAATGCTGCTGCCCTTTATTGGCTCTGATATGGGAAAAATGGAACAGGGAAAGGAAGCCAGGCGGAAGATGCTTAACGATCAGTGTTCCAGATGGGAAAAAAGAGTAGTGGACATATCAACTCATGGCCCTCTCTATTCTACGTAACGGGTATCACCGACCAACCAACTAAACCACCGGAATGCTGCAGAAAGAGTAAGCAGAAAGCAAGACTCAGTAGAAAGAGAAACACATCCCAGTGTTTAAAAAGGAGTGGGTTATGTGTTGGACTGCTAAACTCCAGGTTAGCAGTTCAAAACTACCATCTTCTCCTTAGGAGAAAGAAGAGGATTTCTATTCCTGTAAAAATTTGCAGTCTCCAAAACCCACAGGGGCAGCTCTATTCTGTCCTATAGGATCGCTGTGGGTTGGAATTCACTTGATGGAAGTGTGTAGCTGTGACAGTAGTATCTCCTTTAAAGTTCCAAACAAAAGACCAACAGTATAGAAAACAAGGTACAAAACATGCCAGCAAAGCGTGGCTCAGAAAGATCAATATGTCCATTTCAGTCACTAATATTAAGAATATTTTCAATTTTAGTGCTTTCCAAGTAATTAGTTTATCTCCTCTGTCTGTCAATCACAGTTCACCTTTCTTGTTCTATTTATGCTGTTTTCACTGTTTGTGGGTAAACAAAATCTTTAGGTAGTTTACCATAAGTTAACTTTTTGAATTGAGCTGCTCAGATTATGACTGTTATATCTGTAGGTATTCTGTGAGAACAGCTATCATTAAAAGAATGCTCTCTTGATTTAACTGGGAAGTATTCATCAATTAAGGACATAGAACTGTACAAATTTCATTTCTTAGTTTCTTGATTGAATTTGATTTCTTAAATAATGAAGCCTTCAAAATGTTCCAGCAAGCAAGATATTCATGTACAGTGAAAAAAATCATTAATTTAAAGAGCATCATGGGTTTGTACTCTTTCTTGAATCCTAACAGCAGATATTGGCTGAACAATTAGGCCAATTATTCGGAAGAAAGATTGGCCTGAAGAGCGTTTTCTGCTTTCCTTCAAATTCCAAAGCAGTCGTTTTGATCCTCTGCTTTCTGTGCTAGAATGTCAAAATGTTTTCATTCTGACCCCAATCCTATTCCCCTATTTCAGCCACTTGGCTCTAATTTGTTCTTAATTTATCATTTTTTACACCCTGATCTCATTTCCCACCCCTTTATCCGACTGTGATCCACAAGGTCAGCAGTTCAAAACCACCAGTCCCTCCTCAGGAGAAAAAAAAAGTGGGGGGCTTTACACTCCCATAAATAGTTACAGTCTTGGAAACTCACAGGGGCAGTTCTACCCTTCCTGATAGGTTTGGTGTGAGTAGGTATCAACTCAATGACAAGGAGTTTAAAGTAGCTTCAGGAACTTCTTACAGGCAGTCTAAATGTTTATAAGCATTGGCAATAGACTCAGATGAGTCGTAGTTGTGCAGAGAATTGCTAAGTTTTAAGTTAGAACCTAGACATGAAATAACAACTAAGACCCAGAAAAATAATCAGGGCAAGGTTGGTTTTAAATGAGGAGTCATATACAGCAGAGCCTATGACCAAAAGATAAAGAAGAATGCATATGGTCTGGTTAGTGTTGTGATATAATCAAAGAACCATAATTATTAATAGGAAAAAGCCCAGCTCAATCCCTATACATTTAAGAGAATATCTACCCAATTTATCATCTGTACCATCACATGGTAGACTTGCCTTTCCTTTCTTACTCAGCTCTCATACCCAATAGCGATAGCCAAGTCATTTCCTTTTTTTTCTCTAAATATCAAAATCAGCAAATGCCAAAATTCTCTCTCCATCTCCTCATACAAACACCGCCTCTTGGGCTATCCTTTGCCTTCCTTCTACAGTCTGGAAGATAAAAATTCAGGCTTGGGTTTGACAAAGACAAGGGTCAGAAGGGAAGGGATGGGAAGGAAGAGAGGAAGGAACACGTATCGACTTTGAACATTTCTGACTTCATGTCACCTCCCTTTCTCACATAGCCATTAAGTGATACAAGATAGACACACCTACAATACAAACCATTGGACAGATTTCTAAGTCATTGTGATGAATAATAGAGTTTTATTTGTTGACCAGTTTCCTG